TTCTTGTAGTTCTGCATCTACTCGTCGGTAGAATTTCAAAGCCTCAAAGGCATTCGATGTGCTCATGTGACTCAGTAACTCTACAAGCATAGGCTGGATTGACACAAGATTACATTGTGTTGAAATGAGAATCCCATAACTCCCGCGTATCAACAGCTAAAAAAAGTTTCACTCCTAACTGTCGACACTAATTCACTGATACAACCTAAAGCCTAACATGGATCAAACCTAATCACATGAGCAACCTCGTAGCCAGACATGAAAAGCAGCCGACATGAAGATGCAGTACTCCAAGATGAGGGTGGGCAAAAAGGCAATAAGTGTAGTCTTCTCATTCTGCAATGCTCGTAATACAGAATCCCAGTCCGGAGTTTCCACTGATCCAATACTTGTCAGATTCGATGGAGATTCGCCGGAAGCGGACAGCTTAGTACCGGCATTGTCCCTCCAGAAACACGTGAAATCAACCTTGGGAATCCGCGAAAATATATGTGCATATATATATGCATATGTATGTATTCGAATGCAAGTGCAGGCCCAAACAGGCTTCTGCAGTGAGACGATAAATCCGACCTAAACAAGTCCTAACTAGACCCACTCAATAAATCCTATCTCTACGATTCTCAAGGAGACAACCATTCCTCATGCTCAAGTCAATATTCTTAGGCAGCCTACATACAATCGCAATGGACCAGACAAAAATTTCAGCGGTAGATGAAAGATTACTAAGAATCCTCTGTTCCTATTACTAGAACAAGTACGGTGAGAAATGAAACTGTAACGAACTTACAACCAGGCAAACTTTGCTAGAAGTGAGAAACGTAGAGAACACAGTCCCACAGCGACTCACATTCTCAAAGACGCAGCTGGCCTTGACTTGGAATATAAAACAAACGGAGGCGACTAGTGGGGATGATGACTCCAAAATGGGGGGTGAAGCAGAAACACACTCCGCCCAGAGGGCGTGAGCAGCTGCGCGCCAAAATACTGGGCATGAGCGCCCAGGCGAAGTTACGGTCGGACCCCTGAGCCACCCAACTCCGGCGTGGCGTCAACGGGATGGATTCTCTGCAGAGGAGGGCCATGATAATCTTATAGACACTTCTAGGAGTGCTCGTGTTGTCTCATCCGAGGCACAGACGTGCAGCGAAGCCATTAATAAGCTTCTCTGCCACGCTGTCACCGGGGCTGATCGCACTCACGCCCTCCACGTTCGCGTCCCCGCGCACTACCAGCACAGTAAAGTCCAGACCCACGTTATATTTATCAACAACGGAACCCCCCACAGCGCTCACGAATGCGCACATTCTCCCGGCAGCCGATCGAACCCGGCGACGATCAACGAACTCGATCCTTGCCATCCCTATCCACTGACCAGATCTACGAGCTGTCCGAGGGACAAGCCCTGTCGACGCACCCGCCGTCCAGGGGGGTTTGGGGGGGGGGGGGGGGGGGGGAGAAAGAGGCTCTGGCTTCGGCGTTGGCGTGGGATGGGGACGAGAAACTCGGCAACAAGCGCGAGGCTTGGCTCTGACAAGATGGTGCCAAATTTGAAGTCGGGCTAGAGCGGCCTCTACGCTCCAACTCCAGCGTCCATCTCAGCGCACAAACTGCTGCTGATGCTGTTTCCACCTCTACTACTACTATTAGTCGCTTTCTTGTGCCGAGGCGAATGAATTCGTTTGCTTGCCATGTCCCCTCCTCTGTTATTATCGCGGGAAAGCATCGTTGAGTTCGGGGCGTGGATCCTCCAGACGGATCGCTGCTGCTGTTGCGTCGCAACCAGCGCAGTGTCCCTTTTTCGCGCCACCCCTCCCTCCATCACCTGGCGTCATGCCATGCCCCGCAAGTGGAATCTAAACTCGGAATCTGACTACCCACATGATGCACCAGTCGTGTGTATGTGTGTGAATGTGAGGCAGTGAGTGAATGTGAGTGTGTATGCAAGTGTGTGTGTGTGTGTGTGAGAGAGATCACCGTAGCCCGGGCTTGCCGAAGCTCCTCTTCCCCCGCCCTCCATCTCCATGTTGCTGCTCTGCAAGGCCACCACAGCTCTCATGTTCCATGCTTTGCTTTCTTCATGGTGTACTCGTTTTTTGTCATGTGGGTAAAAGCAAAGTATTTAGGTTGGGTACTTTGAAGGGATATGGAAATATATATATATATATATATATATATATAGGTTTTTGTATATTGATTTCTTTCCAAATTTGTTTAAGAATGTAACTTTGTTTTACTTGTATGTTTAAATCTTCAAAATAAAGATACAAATAATTTTTTTCCTTTGTGATTTCTTTTTCATTATGATTTTGGTTATACTTGTATAAGTAAAATCTATAGTGTGTTTGTGTGTGTGTATATATATATATATATATATATATTGGGAATTGTTAAAGTGATCCAAGTATTTACTAAATTTACCCAGCCGTCCAAACCATCAACAAAAAATTCTCCATTACCAAAACTTCATTCGTCAAAAACCAATGAAAAAATGGTTGGATCTTCAACCAATGCTGATGGGTAGGTTGATTTGGTAAATGCTTGGGTCACTTTAACAATTCCCTATATATATATATATATATATATTACAAGATAATAAAAAATAAATAAAAAATATAAGTATGTTAAATCCAGAATGTCAACAATGTATGTTTTTTTAAAAGGGTTCTAAAATATGTTGTATAAGTTTCTTTTTCTTTTTCTTTTTCTTTTATGTTGATCAATTTTTTTGTATATAATGTTCACTACAACAGATAAAATATTGATTTTATGAAGTTTTTATTTTTTTAATGTTATAATAATGAAATATAATTTAACTATACCAATATTTTTAATCAGCAATTTAAGACTGTTAGTGGTAATTGTATTTATAAATGACAAGATTTAATAATTATTAGTTCTATACATTTTAGCGCCATAAAGTAATTTCTAAAAGTGTAATTATAGATCCAATCTAAGCTTGTACAATAATTTAAAAAGCCACTGCACCATATGTAAATATTGCTTATTGTATAATTTTAAAAATATCAAACACATACTTGATTTATGAATTATGTTTATTTTATTTGAGATTTTTTTTAATATACTGTTTCTGATAATACCTCTAAATAATTAAACAAGAAAAGAAAAGAAAATGAAAAGAAATACCATCAGATTTTGACCAATTAAATTGAAAAATTAGAATTTTTTTATTTTTCTAATTCAATTTTTTTCTTTTAGTTCTTAATTAAAATCAAGTCTTACATGAATATTTTTTTGCAAAACACCTATATTACTTAAATTTACTTTATGCCTCTCATTTCTATGAATTCAAAATTTACAGATAAAAGTGAAAAGAACTGCTTTATAAGTGTATATTATGAATAAAATTATATACCTACACACTGCACATTTCTATTCATGATTGTACATGTAAGCATGTTGTGATGGTCAAATTATGATATAAAGTCAAAAGACTTCATTGTAGTTTCACATTTATGTAGTCATAACGACCATGACACCTTTAATTTCATCATGGTGCATAATTTGGTTACTTTCTCTAAGTTTGTCTCAAAATGAATTCCAAAAGACGTGTACATGCTTCTGAACTCCCATATTTAGGATGAAGAGAAGGAATTATCATATATATATATATATATATATATACATATTCGAATGTGTGAGCACGTAAACAATCACACCCACCCGTGTCAAAGTTATTAAGAAAAAGAAAACACTTGTAATTCTCTTTGATTTGCTAGATTAAACCTTAATGTAGTAAATGGCATGTTGAAGTCTATCCAATTCCAGAAATAAAATAAAATATAGAAGTATCGAAATTCAAACCATGAAAAATCCAAAGCATGAGAATGATCAGGTGCATCAAGTTTGTGGATATTAAGTTTGTCTCTAAATTACTCAATCCAAGTTCCAAAAGGAATGCCATACGCAAGGCAAATTCTTATATCTAAGTGCTTCGCAGCAACAAATTCACATGGGCAGTAGCATCTTGACATTATGCTCTTCTTTTGATTTTTTCTCCAAAAACGAGACCAGAATTCAAAATAATGTTGGCGACGAGGGTGGTGAGAAGGAGAATCAAATGAAACAGCCACCACCTCCACAAAGCACATTTATTGATACACATTCACACCCAGTTGACCATACAGGGTTGACCCTTTCACGACCCATCGCACGCACTACTTCTACCTGATCAAAAACGGTTTTAGACACAAGTATTCATATATATATATATATATATATATATACACACACATGTTTGTCATCTTGCCTAGGGATCATCAAAAGTTACCCACACCTTGAGCTCAAAAGACGTGTTCTGACGAGCTGTTAAACTGAGTCACTGGTGGAAGGTCAGAGACCTGGAAGCAATATCCTTTCCTGGAAAAGAATTTTGTCCAATGGTCAATCTGAAAACAACAAAAAAACAACAGAAGTAGAGGAGGAGGAGGAGGAGGAAGAAGAAGAGGATGCAAGTCAGCCTTCGAAGTACGAAAAAAGCCACGAATGGAGCTAGCTAACCAACAAACTAGCACAGTCAACAACAATGAGCCAATGAACAATCAGGACCGGGCTAGAAAAAACTCATCTAGATCCTAGCATCGCAGGGAGGGGGGTATGCTATTTTTCCGCAGGGAATTTCAAGTCTTCAATGCAACTTGTGGAATAGTGGGAAGTGCAATGATCAAACGCTGCTGGTATTCGTCATTGTACTGAATCGAAGTGAAAATTGATCTTTGGTAAATTGTAGGTTGTGCACCCTTAATTCTGTGCTGGAAGGCTTTCTCAATGGCTAAAGTATTTGATTTTTTTTAACGTTTTTTTTTAACGGTTTTTTTTTTTTTTTTTTTTTTTTTTTAACTGTGATGGTATTTGACGCAGATTCGTCGGGAGTTACATTCGGGTGATATCCTTCCTGGCGGGACGATCCTTTCCGGACAGGAGAAGTCCTGAAAATTTGGAATCTGAGCGTCCAGATCAAGTGTCTCGGCGCGCAGCAGTGCAGTTGCCCCTGCTAGTGGACTGACGAAGCTGGGTCATGTTGCCAGATTCCTACATAAGCTCTTCACATTCCTTGGGATTTCAGGTCTGGCTCGGCTTGGGGGAGCGGCATCCGCAAGGGGCTGCTTCGACAAGTAGACTGTAAGCTTCTGACTTTGCTCAGAATTGTGCGGTCGTGAACACTATCTCCTAACGATGTTTGACGTGAAGTTAATGTTTGTAGCTGAGTTTGTGCCACTTGTTAGGGGTTGAGTTATGGCGCAATCCTAAAACATGGGTCTGCTGGAGGTTGGTTTTTGTTGTTGATGTTGTAAATGCCTCCAGAGAGAATATACGTGACACGAACGTGAGTTATACCTCATGTCTCGATTACCTCTGTCCTCTAGCTTTCGACGAGTTGGTTGGCTTCAGTAATAAATGGAGTTTTTCTCACGCACTAGGCTGCTGCATATAGTGTGTGTGTCTATTGCTGCCCAGTAGGTAGCTCTACCACCGAGCGTTCAAGTCTTTTTAGAGTTCGAGACAATGCGCTTGATTGGTGACAATAGAACAGTTTGTTGCAACAAACTTGTACCATCGAGTGATCGGTCAAGTGATGAATCCTTTCTTAATTTCCACTCTCGACTAGCCGAGTGAGATGTGTAGATTCTACTTTTCTTAGCCGCGTCTCTGATCCTGGTGTTGGCAGCCCTCCAACTATCTTTCAAATGCCAAGCTTTACCGTAACTGCCTAATGCAAGTTTTCTCGTACTCCGGAATGAAACTGGTCCGCCACAGAAGACACCGCATGCTCGCCTTGCTGGTCACCCTCATCTTGGAGTACTGCATCTTCACATCTGTAGCCCTTCATCTAAGTCTCAGGCAGCACTAGTGCTGTAGTTTCAGCCGAATTCTTGGTATTCGAGAATTTATGAATGAGGCACTGAGCACACCAAAAGAGGTCAGAGATTGGGGATTCTACTGATGGGCAGATGCAGAACTGCAAGAAGCGAGTGGGCAGCAGGCTATGTTCATTCGACAACCCCACGACCATGATCATGACTGCCAAAGCATCTCGAAGAGACTGTTGTGGGAAGCGTATGGCGAATCCTTATTAAAGACAAACGGATTTCACCCATTGCGATCTGCATCGAGAACATGTTTTCACAGCTCAGTGTGAAATCATGCTTTACAACTTTAGACGAGATGCGACTAATCTAAAACAGTCCCACGTAATCTAAGATCAGTGTACCAATGCAGAAGAGACAGAAATGTTAAGATAGCGTTTAACGTGACCTTCTTGTTGTTAATGTGCTTATTGATTTTTTTCTCATTTTGCAGGGGTAGTTTTGCCGATCCATCGCCAGCAGTCATTCAAACTGAGCTAGGCTTCTGACCTGGTTGCATTGCATTGTAATGCAGTTGTATTGTTTTTTTCTCTCCCCTCAGCATTGGCCAATATTGCTTTTTCAAAAATATGAATACCCTGCGTAGAGTTTTGGTGGTTGCTTGTAATAAAAAATTGTATGGTATGAGCGTGGAACTCGTTGTTTTGTCCACTTCCCTTGTGTTTTACAAATACTTACTGAGTTAACTTGATGGAACAAAATGAGCATTTTATGCTTTAGGGTCGAGTACGTGGTTTTGTTTTATTTTACTGGGTTCGTTAAATTTTTTTTCATGCACAATTTTCTAGTTGGTAATCAGGTGAGAATTTGCATTATCATTGAGTTCTTATTTTACTATTGTATATATAATAGGTACATACATAAAAAAGGGTAGTTGCATTAGAAGATAATGATTGTGAGGAGGTAGAAGATGATTATTGGAATGATTCTTTGATTGATAGACCCAATTGCATTTAGTTATAGATGAACTCCAATTAAAATGATTTTATTTTTATTTTTATTTTTATATTGATTTATGTTGATGTTGCTTGTGGTATAAAATATTACATTCATTAAAAATATGCTTCAAAAATACATCTTCCTAAAATACTTTTTCACAATTCCATATCCATTTTAAGAAGAAAATTTTCATTTCAAATGTATAAAATACAACATTTTAATGAAATGATTTAAAAAAAAAAAAAAAAAAAAAAAAAAAAACAATGTAAAATGCTTTTGTCTAAGAAACGTCATGCAATACAAAAAAAATACAGCATATATATATAATTTTTATTAATGTTAAATTTGAATAATTATTTTGTATAATTATTATTATTAACATTTTTTTTTCTTAGAAATCATATTGATTTTAAAAAATTAGATGATTTTTGGTAGTTGATTACATAATTCGTATTTAATATGTTGAGCTTTAAAATTTTAATTTATTATTAAATAACAAATCAATGTGGAGGTTAAGATGTACATTTTAAATTAAGATTAAATTTAAAAGATAAAATATGTTGATAATTTAAGACTTGAATTATGTATAGAATAGAAATTTTAAAAAAAAGATAAAAAATCAATATTTTAAATTCCTAAGCTTTTAAAGCTTTTTTTGCTTTCAAATTATAATATAAAAATAAAATTTACTAAATAATATAATATTTATGATGTTTTTGATGAATTATAAATAATTCAGCTTTAAAATTAAAAAAACAATAAGCCTTCAACTATTTATATATTATTCTTAAGCTTAATATTTTATATAATTATTAAATAATAATTAAATAAATATATGCCTTGATAATTTGACTTATATTATATTTTAACGTGCATACATTATATAGTTTTATAATGCTCTTTAATTTTTTAATTGCATAAAATTTCTTAATTTCCAAGTAAGATTTTGTTTATTCCATATTTCATATTGAGGTAAGAATATAGAGAGTTTAAGCATTTTCAATAAAACTTGTACTTGATATTAGTGCCAAAAAAGATCACTAAGTGCCTTCTTGCCAGTAATTATATCCTTTGTAGTGTTACCATGTCGTACATCAACAACATGTGATTCTAAGGTTATAGTAGTCAACCTTCTATTGATTTGTTGTTGAAATAAAGTCACAAACCAATAGTTTGGTAAATAATTGCATCTCTTCAAGATTCTAAAATTGAAAATGTGATTCTTGTCATCAAGTTTTTTATATTGTTCTATGTTGGAAGTAGTTGGAATTCTCAATATCAAAGAAAATTCCTTGATATTTGATTTGATTTATTTTGCAAGAAAATTTGATAAGATCATATATGGAATAATTCTCAATATTTGTCCATATATACACCTCTATATTAATACATGAAGATTTTGCATCTAAGTCCACACAATAGACTTACGTTCCAATTCTTATATTTCCATTTATCAAATAAGTTGTATTTTCAAAAGATGCACAAGTTTAAAGAATATTTTTATATTCAAATGAATAAAAATCATCTATTATCAATGCATTTCCACAACTAGACTTAATTTTTTTACTTATCTAAGATTTTCTATACTAATTCACCTAAAATTGTGTTTTTTGGCATTTTAAGTGCATTTTTCTTTTAAAGCTACAAGTAAGATATTTTAATGAGTTATACATGACACACCATTTAAAAATAACTTTTAAAGAAGAATAATCTAAAATATTTCTTACTAATATGCTATTTAATATTAAAAATCAAGTACAAAATGGTGTTAAAATTCTATTCAAGAACTAGTAAAAGTAGTACCACTAAATTAAATATAATTTTTTGTAAAGATCATGGAATTTTAAAAATTATAATTATATTAATTTTATGAATTTTATTAATCTTAAGAAATTAAAAGAATGCTTAAAGTTAATATCTTTTCTTAAGAACACAAGCACAAATCTATCTTATAAGATATCCTATAAAAAAGAAATAAATAAATAAATAAATAAATAAAATTAGTACCATAATTATTATCCTTCAATCATTAGAAATTAGATCTTAAGCCTTATAGGCCTATATATCTTCTAAATTACTACAATTGGTCACTTTCTTACATTAGAATTAACTTATTGAGATAGCTTCATTATCTTAGTTAGATTTGAATCTTAACCATTTAATAAATAATTATTTATGTAACCAATATTTTTGCAATATTTAGATATTATAAATAATAAAAAAATCTTTAAACCTATTATTTTAAAGAATATTATATATATATATATTTTTTAAAATTAAAATAATTAAGATATAAAAATCTACCTAATACTTAAGCTTCTTTCTTTTCACAAGATTTATTTAAGTTTATGGTGAATAGAAGAAAAGAATTGAAATAGAAAGAATATCAATTCATAAGAGTATTTTTTGTATCTTATTAAAGACTAAGATCTTTAAAATTCTTGATAAAAGTTAAGTTGAGACATTTTTATATACTTGAATCTTAATTAAGTATAAAAAAAAAGATTAATAAAGATTTCTATTTATAGGTGGTAATATCTCACATCTTATACTTCTTATATATTTTTTTAAAAGTTTCAATAGAAAAATCTTCACCATTTAATGTTTACAATTGTATTGAATTGTTTGGAAGGACTTCTTTTATTATATAAGGTCCTAATCATAAAACATCAAACTTTTCAAAAAAATCCAATTTCCATGTATCTTATAGAAGTACCAACATTTTTAAGCTAAGGATCTTGTAAAAGAAATTTTTTCTTCTTCTTTGTATATCCTCCATATATTATGTATTTGTCTTTTTTGCATTATTTAAATCCTCTAGGTACTTCAATTATTCTACTATAGATTGAAATCTTGATAGTCTTTTATTTAATACAATTTAAGAAGAATAGATTTTAAATTTAATAAATAAAATTGTTTCTATGCCATAGACTAAGGAAAAATAGATGGTTTAAGTAGTTACCTTAAAGGTGGTTCTATAAGTCCATAAGGTTGATAGAAGCTTGGTGTCACAATCATTTTTAAATCTCCTAATAGTTTTTTTAAAAATATTCAAGGTTTAATTGATCCATTCTATATAATTGTTGATTTGGAGATAATAGACTGTAGTCTTACAATGTTAATTCTAAATTATGTTGTTATATCGTCTATTACTTCATTCAAGAAATATTTGCCTTTATCACTAATAAAAATCTTTAGGCATTTTAAACGTATGATGATTTTTTCAAATAAAAATTTAACAACAAAAATAGGATTATTAATTTTGACTACTTTAGTTTTAGCCTACTTAATAATGTATTCAATGGTAGATTCTTCAACATTCCATCTAATCTATAATAATATGATTTATCTCTAATTATAACAAATTATCAACTATTGATATATTTATATTCAAGTTTTGACAAATTTTGAGATAAAGCTTGTATGATTAAGAACTTTATAATAAGTTTATATCAAATAAGAATAGATGAAATATTAAATAAATTTTTATCAATCAAGATGTCATAAATAGAAAAAATCTTAGTTATTTATAATAAGTGTAATAAGCAATTTCTTTATTTATACATCTTTTAAAGTTTATATTCTATTCTATAGTAAAATTCTTTTAAAAAAAAAATCTATTTAGTAAGTTTATTATTGTCAAAGTGGAAAAATTTTGCTTCAAAAAAACACTGGGTATTTATATATAACTAATTGCTTAATCAAATTTTAAGATAATAAAATTTTGAATTGCTATAATATTTTTTATATAAATATTTATATCAAATATATAAGTTGTAAGTACATAAAAATATCCAAAATATAGAAAAATACTATAAAATCTTATTTATCTTAAAAAGAGATATTTTCTAAATTCCAACATCTTACGTCTTTCAATTTGACCATTTAGATAGACTCAAAATTAATATAAAGTATTCATATATTTTTAAAAACTACAAAAGAGATTTTAGTTTTGCTACTTATATTGCCCATCTATGTTCTATAGCAATTGGCTATCTTTGTTTCTTATAAAGATCTTTGGACATAAAATTTATCTTAAAACCATGGTCAATTAAAGCAACAACTTGTTCTTCTATATCTTCTATCTTTATCAATACTTTTATAATTGACTTTGCCAAATGTTTTATAAATAAAGGCTTGAAACTTTTATTTCCTTGTCACTAAAATCCTCAAAATTTACTTATTAATAATAACCATTATTTTTATTTATTGATTACTTATAACAATTATCAATTTTTTCTTCATCATTATATATCTTTGCATCAATAGCATGATTTAGTTTAGCTTCACCCATTAATTACATCTTCTATTTAATGTTGTCAATAATAATATTATGAAACTCTTTTTTTGTAATTTCTAAAATCTTTTTAAATATGGACTCCACCTTAGCATTTTGTATATGTTCTTTTTATACCTCCTTCAAATTTGTTGCTGCTTTAATATCAAAGAATAGTTTATAAGCTATTGATTTATATGTATCTATTGTCTTACTTATTTTTTTCTACTATCATTGAAGTATCCTTTCTGGAAAATTCTTATGAAATTATTTCACAAGCCTTCTTTTATCAAATATTTTTTTAGAAGAATTTTCTTCTCTTGTATGATTAAAAAATCTCTTTTTCTTTTCTTCCATCAAGGCTTTATATTAACTCTTAGCATTGTATGCATGGATTAAAAGAACTTCT